TGCCATACACTTCGTTCAAAATATTTGTTTATTAATAGAATATCAAACAATATAAAAAAATTGGGGGAACTTGGTCCACATCTTATCTAAGTGACAATACATATATGTATATTAAGTACCTTGAAATCCAGCATAATAAAATAAAAGTTATTTTAATAATATGAGTTAATTTGTTTGATATCAATTTTCAAACTTTTACAGACAGGAGTATTCCAAATTCCTTTAATTCTGAGGAATGCTACTGAGTTAACAGTGCTTTGCTTCTTAAAAATCCGGGTCCATTGCAGTTATGCAAACGACTTATTGATTTTTCGTTTTCCTTATCACAATAAATCTGAATAATTGAAATAGAAAAGTTTATGCAGCGAATTAATAGTATATTAATCCTTATCAATGAATATACTATGCAACATTACCCACTACTATGTAAAATTAATAATATACCGATTTTATTTTTAATGTACACGTTCGTTCTTTCACATATGTATATTAAATTAGCTGTTTGTATTTTTTGCACACCGACTATAAACAATTGGCAAGCAGCTTATTTATATGTTTCGATTTGTGTAAATATATATACGAGTATATATGTATGTATATACTCTTCTTGTCCTCTCGCTAAACCAAAAAGGCAATTCTATCAATAAATGCGCATATTAATGCGAGTATTATCATAATTCGCTGTCAGAACAAATGCAGTGACATCTGAAATGTTGAAATGTGACAACAACGACACACAACAAACAGTTTGATGCCCAATAACTGTAAGGAAAAAATTACATTTGTGTTTACATTCCAGCATCACTTCCAAAGCACTTAAGGTGACAATCAGGTTTTCCTCACCAGCTTAATTAGCACTTTGCTGCACCTGATACTTACTCAGCCAGTTATTGCGCACAATTTTTCACTCTGCCATGTGCTGCACTGAAACCGTAAAGATGGGACCCGGTGAACGAAGTCTTTGGTGGCCAGTACTGATAGTGTTTACTACAGCCCTGAGCTCCATTAAAAATGCATGAATGAATTTTTCATTTAATTTACACCATTTTTTCATACTCTTATATGTATACCTATCTGCCTTAAACAAGTAATTAAGTGATTTGTGTAATATGTTGCAGGCTGTTTGTTTGTGTCGCATTTATGATTGCGTAGAAATTTTAGTTTTTGTATGAATATATAACGGTACGAGCATATGCATATATACATAGGTATCGGCAGTTGCTAATTCAGTGCATTAAGGCGATCACTTTCTAATTACACGAGAAGTTTTGCTTCTCGAAAAACGAAAGGCAATCGTCTATAAAATACGAAATGAGCTCAAGCGGACAGACGCTATTTCATGTTTAAATGTGGTCAGTGTTAAGTTGCTATAGGCTTTTTGAAGGGACCAAAATAACATTGATACATACAATATGTACATGCTTAATTGAGGAACAACATGTGTACCGTTTATTGTACATGAAGTTGAAGCTCCGCAACCATTATTATACTCTCGCATAATGTTGCTACAGAGTATTATAGATTTGTACACCTATAGGTTTATTGCATCGCCTAAAACTAATTTAAGATACAAAACTATAATTTGGTACTGGATAGCGCAGTAGGGAGGGGCATTAGAGATATATCTCAGGAACTACTTAACCAATTTAAACGAAATTTAGTGCTTAAAATTATATTTCTAATATTATTTTACAGTGTAAAAATTTAAATTTCATGTAACTCTTTCACTTTATAGAATATAAACCAAGCACCAATGTACTTATTGTAATAAAACCGTGCATAGAGAGCGCCTCTAAAGTATGCCATCTCACAGTCTAAAATAGTCGAAATAGGGCGATAACTTTTTAAATTCCTTAATACCGAATAAGTGGACCTCAGTGCCTATAGCTGATTTTTTACCAAACATATCGGAAAAACTCTGAGGTATCTTATTGAAATTCAGAGAGCATCTTTTACTGTTAGCAGTGTACGCTTGTGCTAATAATGGGTAAACTCGGGTTAGTACTTCTACTAACTCCATATACCTAATATAAGGACTTTTCCATCCTTAATATCGTGACTTCCTATTATTTGGTTGGCTTTTTCATCTAAACCCAATATATTAAATTTAGTCTCTTTGGTTGATTTTATATCACAAGTATTTAATTTAAGTTAGTTAGGTTTATTTGTAGTTATAAAACTAAATGAGTTCACGACCTTTATTATACATAAGTTAATAAGAATTCCAATTTGATTGTTATTCGTTTGGTTCCTTCGAATAGTACTGGATGTTGAATCCTTACGCAACATTATTTAATATAAAGCAAGCAATTGAAAGTATTTCCCCGGCTTTGAAATATGCAAATTGCGAGAGTGAAAGATATTTCGTTCCACCCGAAATTCGGTCTTTCTTACTGGTTTTCGAATGAAATTTATTAGCTACTGCTTAGGAAGTTTCCGTTAATTGAATGGACATTTACAACAATTACACCGTTTATTTGCCCGAATGTATTATATTTGGATTGTTGGAAATTTGTCATTTGCTGCATTTTTTTAACAGAGTTATTGAGGCCGATATTTGGGTTAAAGTATAAATGGACTAATTAACGAGCCAAACTCTTGAACTTTTTTTTTGTTTTCGGATTGCGGCATTCGCTATCGAGTACAAAACTTTCGAAATTCCAGATATCGTCAAATGATAGCGAATATACGTTTATACGAAGAAATCGAAATCTAACTCGTAAGCTTATTTTTTAATGTAATAGTACGAATTAAAAAATATGCTAAATTAATCAGTGGCAAAATGTATGTTATTTTTCTTTTATCGATTCTATTTACCATATATTACAATTATAACGAATTATTTAAGAACAGATATTATGCTACAGTATCAAGGTCATCGGTCCTTCAGTGTACCAATGGTTGGTCCAACAATCCAGTGCTTTTACAAGGATTTCATTAAATAACGCCTGGCTCGAGCCATCTTCAGAGTTTCTGAATGGTGTCAAAGACCATAGCTCCAAGGGATATCCAAAATATCTTATTAATTGAGAAATACGTAGGTATATCTATATTTATAGGGTAGCTGTATATTCGTAAATGCATATACTCGTATTACCCAAAATCCAGTATCCTCCAAAATTCTCCTCTACGCAGAATGTTTCCATACAAAGGAATCGTCAGCGGCTCTATCATATTTCAAATATATAATATAACAAAATTCATCATCCAATAACTAAAAATTTGTATAGTTATTTGCACACTTTTCAAATCATCATCATTTAGTCGACAAACTACCTCTTGGAAGTTTATATTTTTCAACAGAGTATTCTGTGCACTGAGATAAACGGTCTAGCGAAAACCTAATGAAATGTGGACAAAGTTTTGTTTCCATTTCTTTAACTACGTCCCCTACAATTTTACACATTGAACACATACCAATTAAAAATACGACAATAGGGACAAAGTCGCTGCTAGTTGAAGCATTAAATGCATCTTTGATCAGTCTAAACCGCTTTATTAATCTTTAAAAGATTTAAAATACTAATTTAAACGGTATATATATATATTTACTTACGTTGTTTCAGGTAAAGCCATGGGATAGCTTTTATCCCGAATCTTGCACTTTATAGCCATCTGAATCTAATGAACTTGTATAAAAAAACACGATAGTGTTTATTTTAATGCCTGCAAAAACTAGATTTAATAAATTTTTATATAAACGTATAATAAATTTGAATTTTTACGTTTAATTTCAATTCAAATACTTTTTTGTTTAGGTTGTTCGCAAATGTCATTTGGAGCAATACCAGGGAAGTTATGGTATAAAATTTCTATTCGTTTCGATAGCGTGTGGTGTTCCGCTTACTCGACAATTTCGAAATTTCACTCAATACGAATGCTCGTTCGCTGGCGACTGCCACGATTCAGGCCCAGTTTTGGGACTTGTAACGCACACAAATCAGATATATTGTTAACTTTTTAATAACTACAAAGAACTACAATTTTTTAAATTAATTTTACAAAGATTACCGCTTCATCTCCATTAAATGTGTATTGTTTCGCCACTGTGCAATACTGCACAATATCAACACATTTTTAGGTTTATATGTATTGCACGTTGCACTAACTTTTCCGAATGCAAACAACCCCTACGATTTTCTGAATTTCGAATCTGATTGTGATGTGTATTACAGCGTTTGCCCTCGTACGTGTGATTGTTAGTATGTGTAATTGATGCCAGTGATTGTGATGGCAAAGCACTACCATAGTGGATTTAGTGGTGTTCAGTGTGTAGTGAAAGCCATGATGGTGTTGTAGGCAAATGGCAACCGGGGTCGCAGCAGCTGGTTGTGTCTGTTAGTGCTAATTCCATTTTAGTTTTTCGCATTGTTATTGAGTTTTTCACATTTCCTCTAGCTTCATGCTTAAATTTTATTGCAACTGACTTGTTTTCCTTTTCTCTTTTGGTTCATTCTATTTTTCCCCATACTTTTGATAGTCAGCTCCTTTTGCAAAACATATTCATATATTATATATGGTTGTACGTACATATATGTACATATTTGTGTTATTTTGGTTTTCTGTAGCGTGTTGACGTTGGTAAAAATTTAGTCAGTAACCGCCAAAAAAGGACGAAATCCAATTCCACCACCATTTTCATCCCTTTCACCGCAAAAGAAATTTCATACAAATGCTTCTAAATAGTTTTATATCGGAAGCTTGTTTTTCCAAGCGTGAATTTCCTGTTAATGTATAGATTATATATGTGTTATACGTTTGTTTATATCTCAGACTGCTCAACCATATGTGTTGGCGGAACTCGAATTTTCGCAATTCCCTAGCGGTAAAGAAAACTCTGTTCCGCTGTCCCAAGCCAATGGGAAAGAGTGGTATACAGAATGTGAAGAATTGTTAAAATATAGATATCGATTATACAAACCCATAAAAGTCAATTAAATATTAGGTTTTAGTTTAATATTATAAAAAAATCATTCTCACTTACATTAATTTCGTTTCAGAAGCATAAACATAAAATCACTTCTCTCACAAAACGCTAAAGATATAAAAGGATCTATACGGTGCTCACTCCTAACGAATAAGAGGATACAAATCAACCGAAAACAAGTAAGGAAGGCCTAAGTAACCAAACATTTTCAACTCTCGAAATTTAAAAGGATCAATGTCCGAAAAATACTTTCAGGTGTAGCAAAACCTTATATTTAAAAACTTTACTGATTTCAACTTCAATCAAAGAGGCTAAATTTAATATATTGGGTATATGGTATATGAAAATGGTCCACAATAGGATCGGAAATAATTATATTAGGAATATGAGGTTTAGATCAAGGTCTAGACTAATTCCATTTAAATTTAGAGCTAAGCCACATAATTTTATGAAAGCTTGTCCAGTTAATTTCATTAAAATATCAGACTTTTTGACCAACATAAACACTTTAAAGTTATTGCGTCTAGAAGAAAGTCAAGACTGATTGCATTAACTTTTGGCATTACTCAAGTATAATTGAGAACATGCTTAAATACAATTTTATGAATACCAACCGGAAGGCTATGGGTAGTATTGACCATATTTCAACCATATTTGTCGTCATGATATATTATTTCCAGAGAAACTTATACCAATATGAAGGTATAAAGTCAGCCGGATGTTTGTGGGACTTCATATAAAGTATATGTTGACCCACAAATATGCAACATTATCAGAAAAACATATGTACTTTCTTAATTTTATAAAGATGTCTCACATTTTGACCGATATACATATGAGCCATACAGTCAACCGGCAGTTCGAAAATCTTTATATTACGTATATGGAACCTTTGAGAGGTATATGTTATTCGAGTTAACCCAGTTTTGGCAAAAAGGCACACTATAATCGAGGAAAAATTCTTTCTGAACTTCAATGCTATAATCCAATGTTTTACCGATATTTTCGGTAAAAAAAAATCAACAATTGGCACTGAATCCACATATTCCGTATTCGAGGACTTGAAAAGTTTTGGCCTGACTTCGACTTCGATTTTTGGACACAAAATAACCTACCATTAGGTAACTATTTGTGCAAAGTTTTATTTTCATTAAGTCATTGATTCTCGATTTATACACAGGAAAGTATAAGAATCAGATAGTACTTAAAATGTTACATAAAAATCAAAAGATAATGTCACACACTAAATATTTTTGAAATTGGTCATGTTGTTCCTGAGTTATAAGATTTCCCCTAAAGCTTGTTCAAGTTTGATATTGGCTCCTATGAAGTCATTTCGCATCATATTGCGTCTAAAATTTAATTTCTCTATTAATTTTAATTAACTTTTATTTTTTATGCGTATTTGTAATATTGTACCATTTCATAAAAAGCGGTGTATGTAGCACCAGTTTCACATCAGCATTATTGTAATTACAATCAAGGTTATTACTAGCAGCTAGAAAAGTGCAGCATGTTTCCAGCTAATTTTATCTAAGTTGACACAACCGACACATGTGTATTTCTCCAGCATTCAACAAACAACAATCTATGATGACAACCATCAGATACAGCAACAACATGAATACAACAAACCTGATGAACATTGTCATGTGGCAACATGAGTCTGTGGTAAGCATGTCGGTCGCGCCAACCGCAGTGTGAAGGAGGTAACGGCCAATGTAAAATGTGAAATGTGAACTTAAATGAAATGTAATGTTCAATGGAGTTATTATTATGCGCCTTTAAAAGTGATGAACATATTTGTGACTGTTTTTGTGAATGAATTTACATGGCTCGTGAATATTCCATTTGTAACCGTATTTGCAACATGTGTGTCATTTTAATTTCGCCAGACTATGCACCCAAATGGGAAAATGTAGACCCATGAGGACGACTATGAAGCTTTTCTCTGCTAGATTTTCGTGTTTCATTAATCATGTTGGCGCGGTTGTTATTACTTAGACGTTGATTAGCAACTGGTCCAAACAACCAAATCCACTACACCACTAAAACAGCTTTCTAATTTTTGCAATCTCACCTCGGACACAGGGCAATGCAAAAGCAAACATTTGGAAGCCACTATGTGGTGATGTAATTCTCAAATTAGTGTTTACCTCCATTAGGGACTAATGTGGTAGTTCAGTTTTATGAAAACGAATGCTTGTTGTACAAGTAAGGCAGAGTAAACTTCGGACGAAGTCAAATATTAGGCATCCAGGTGTTCCAAAAATACCAGGATATCTGCGTAACTTACTTGGGTCGAAAATCCGTATATGTTATATGGGTTTCAAATGAAAATATGCACCGTTTACGCGCTTTCGAATAAGTATTGTCTCACATCAAGGGTGCAATGTATACCGTTTTTATACTCTCGCAACCTGTTGCTACAGAGTATAATAGTTTTGTTCACCTAACGGTTGTTTGTATCACCTAAAACTAATCGAGTTAGATATAGGGTTATATATATATAAATGATCAGGATGAGGAGACGAGTTGAAATCCGGGTGACTGTCTGTCCGTCCGTCCGTGCACGCTCTAACTTGAGTAAAAATTGAGATATCTTCATGAAGCTTGATACACATGTTTCTTGGTACCGTGAGACGGTTGGTATTGCAGATGGGCGTAATCGGACCACTGCCACGCCCACAAAACGCCATTAATCAAAAACAAATAACTTGCCATAACTAAGCTCCGCAATAAGATACAAGACTGTTATTTGGTACACAGGATCACATTAGGGAGGGGCATCTGCAGTTAAAACTTTTTTTTAAAACGTGGGCGTGGTCCCGCCTCTAATAGGTTTAAATGTTCGGTTACATACATCCGAACTTAGCCCTTCCTTACTTGTTTTGTATATGATTCTTCCTTCATGGTTCAACTTTTAAAATTATATATTTTCATATATGCCTAAGATACTCTCTCTCACTTTCACTAACTGAACATTTCTTACGCTAGAACTTTTAATAGTTTTGAAAAGTCTTAGGGTGAATAAAACTCTTTAGGGAGTAGGACGGGCTAAATTTGAATTTCAGCCAAAGACCTAATTTTTATGAGTATATTGCTAAAACATTACCAAAGGTATATATTAAAAAAATCGAGTTTTCGAAAGAGCCATCAATAATAGCATAAATCGACCTTGGGTCATTCTGATTTCACTTTCGTGTCATATTGCACAAAGTGTAATGTTGCTCTGCGTTTTCATTATGTAATTTCCATCCTATAGAGAGAATGCATTCGTGCATCAAACTATTTGTGAACGACAATGCCAGGCATGGCGAATTCTAAACTAATGCTTTGTTTTCCATTCCATATTTATACAGGAAGAAACCAACTGGTAAAGGTTAAGTTGAACAATATTCTTACCAGATCCTGCTGTGCTGGAAAATTCTATTGCTATACAGTAAACCGTGAACTCAAGTGACGTAAACTGCGTCGGTGTAACAAAAAAATTTGTCTCCCGAGGACAGTGAAAGTTTTCAAAGATGTCGTGTTGTGAATAGCTCAAATGCATTCACATTAAAACTAAGAGAAGTTAAACAAATTCCGGCTGCACTTGTATTTTAAATATGTTTTTCGCACCAATATCAAAACAAAAACCTGCTCAAATTGCAAACAAAAAATTATCAAAAGTGTAGAATATTTCCATATAGTATTTTTTCTACGCACACCTAGGACTTTGTCCACATCGGCGTTTTACGCAGTGGTTAAGCCATGGATTTTATGTGTACTTTAACTCTATAGTGACACCGAAAGAGTCAGGTAACTATTCACAGGGACAATGAAAATTCAATTACAGACAGTAAGTGCTAGGTACAATTTTACGACATCCACTAAATAATCTAAATAAAGTAACTATAATAAACCTTGTTTGTTTTGACCCAGCTTTTATGCTTGTTCAAGTATAAGGTTGTTGCCATGATATTGTTGTTATACATACTCATACCAGAGTACTTAACTTTGTATACTTTTTCATACAATTTGAGGTATCTGCTAAAAACTAAGTCGTAAATTTAACACGTAATTGTCATTATGAGCAATGCCAAACACTCAATTTCGTTGAAACGTTAATGAGGGTCAAATTCTATAAAGACCAGATCAGAGTTGGAAAAATTATTATACAACAAAAATATAAAAAAAAAACAAGTAAGGAAGAGGTAATTTCGGTTGTAACCGAACATTTTATACTCTCGCAAAGTTAAATGGTATACTCGTTTGAGATTTCTTTATATATTTTAATAATTAGAAGTAGGAACTGTTGCCTCAGTTATTTACATTTACAGTGAATTAATTATAGCAATTTGTAAACTAAATTTGCTCAAATTATCGCGAAATCGTTCTTGTGTTTTTTTTGTATACGCTTATAATTGATTTTATATAGAACGCTACTACAACTGTATTGAGGAGTATGAAAAGAAATCGTTTTTTGACAATGATTAAATTTTTTATTTATTTTTTCGATATTATTTTACATGTTTAGCTTAAAAATTATAAATATTAACAACTATAAAAATTATATTATTATATTAATTTGTATATAATATATACAATATTAAACATACATTTTTATAGAGATTCTTATACATATATCCAAATTATATTTCTTTTCCCTTTATACTTTCTATCATTATTTATACAATATTATATAATAACAAATTATACATATAATCTAAATTTTCTTAATTAGATTATTTACATATTTTTCTTAAAATTTTCTTAACAACTACTGTCAAAATTGCTATACCATTCTAATTCGATTATATTTGATAAAAAAAAAAATGAAGAACTATTGCACTAATACTATGTTCGCACCGAATTGAAATCCTCTTGAAAACACAATTTGTGGATTGTGGAACCAAAGTTTTTCTGACCGACATTGTGTGTTTTCGATGAGTTTTCATTGACAGTTCACACATCTATTTGCTTACATTTGTTATGTACCCTACAAGAACAGTGACGGTCATCTGATGGGTAATATGACAGTTTCTATCATTTTCTTAAGAGCCTTGTGCAAAAACTGATGTAAACAAACGTATGTGTGTGAGTTTGCATCTCTCTTTAATACATGAGTATTCGAAATTGATTCACTATATATCTATACTGCTCACTCTCATGTCTTTTTCTGAGTCATTGCTGACCA